GATACTGTTCAGAGTTCACCGTCGCGTCTTCTTGCCGATAAATACGCAGTAAGTAACTTGACGTGCCCGTATCATTCGGCGTTACGTTTAAACAACATGTGTTACGTTGTTTTACACCAATGTATTTTAATAACAATATTATTACAGTATAATTCTGAGCAGTTTATATATTTAAAATCATGTCTTGTATTATTTTATTTATAGCATGGCGATTGTTTACACGTAGGCAATATCAAAACAAAGAGTGGGTTAACATGGCAACCCAGAATGTGTAAACTACTATGGCCTTATACTTTGGTCACAATGAAAATTGTAAGTAGATTTATATATATGCATCATACTATCGCTTAACTTGGGGCTTTGGATTGACGTCTAGCTACGTAACATCCGGTCTACTGTAGAGTGTCAGCAACACTGATAACACAGCATGAAATATTCAGTCGTTGCATAACACTGTTCCGTATTAAATGTTATCATACATTTACGTTCATACTTTTTTATTTTGACAGGGCAAATATGGAATATTAAAACTTGTATAAATATATCAACTTGTTCTATTACGATTTGAACGTCTCGAGGAAGAACGGAGAGTGTGCCTTCTCACTGGTTCCTAACCACAGAGCTAAGTGTTTCAAAGTAAGTAAAACTATTTATTCAACACGAAACCCCGACACGTATACAATTTACTGTGAAGACTGCGCATACCAAGTCAAGCAATGTGGTAAACATTATTGTGTCTTACGTTTTTTGCAGAAATCGTTTCACTTCAGGACACAGGACGCTGAAGAGTTACGTTCATATGTGAATATGATTAGCGACATGATAGAGCTTGCAAAACTCGGAAAGAAAGAAAACATTAAGTTTACATCACGTGACAGGGGTTGCGCCGGTAGTGACGTCACATCGTTTGAAAACTTTGACGAGTTTGATTTGATGGATGCAATCAATTCGATCGATGACGTTTTGGACAATGACAAAGATGAAACTCTAAATAATGACGTCACAAATCAGGAGTCAGGTAAGATATGTGAGTGCTTAGTTTTTGTCTCATGGAACTAAATATAAATCCGAGATAGAGATCGATGTGAATGATATATGATGTTCAAAACAAGATTCTTATACACGTGACTTTCTTTTTTAACGTAGAAACAACAAAATCAAATGTCATTAATAAGAAAAGTGTGTGGAAACGTATGGGAAAGGCTGTTCAAAAGGTTTTCCGAAGAAAATGTAAGTTCTAATCTTTATTATATTTTTATTATTCTTACACAGTTATTATTCGTTGGACAGAAGACACGTGTAAATAAATACTACAGTTATTTTATGAAATTTTTAAATATGTTTCAATTTCATTTTCATTTTTAGGAACTGGTGTTTGTTACCAGATACTTGGTTGTAAACCCAGAAATTTGACTGGAGTAGTTTGTGGTCGGCAATTCACATTCGTTCATTGGACTTTATATGACGACTGTTGTTTTGACTTTACAGTAGATTTCCTGTGTTTTAAATTTTTTAATTAATTTTTAAGTAAATTAAAGCTATGTATATTTTCAACTAAAATGATATAATCGTGGTGGTGTGATTGTGTCTTCTTCGTTTCAAGTGTTGTTGTAAGTTAATTGCAATTACATATGGCGACTACGTGATAACAACCGGATGCAGGACGTGCGTAGATAATATCGATTCCCAAAAGGCTCCCTCTGGTGACGAATCTATTCTGTGACGTAAATGAAAAATAGAATGAACATATGTATTACAAAATTACAATAAGTCACTGGTTTGGGATCGGTGTGTAAATAAATATGAATACGTCGTACTTGAACGTATCTCGTAAAAAAAACATAAAAACGCCGTGCTTGTAACGTACGAGTTATACTAAATATGCCATAATTGTTAGAAATCTAGTAAATAAATATAAATACTCAGTGTTTATGAATTACGAAATTTCTGTGGCCGAAACTTCCTACGTTCGTATGAAAAAAAACGTGCACCTTTGAAAAAACAAGGCCGAAACACCCGTATTAGAAACGTTAGCGCCGGAAAGTCCGCGGCCAATACGTCCTACAATCGTTTGTTACATAGGGGTTATTAGTACAAGAACGGAATCGATAAGCTATAAAATATGCATGTGACCGAAGAGAAGAATTGGAAAATGGTTACCGACACTTCAGTTCACTATATTTGTAACCTCTGTCAAGTCTATTAGAGGTTTCGAAATTACCCCGGTGTCAGATACTCCCATCTACACCATGGTTGTTAAAAAGAAACAGTTCTTTCCAGTGTTTCGACTCGTATTTTTACAGGAGGAAGCACAACAACATGAATTATATTCATTGTTCAATTATTGGTACACAAATACTGTCATTTATATTAACAGAATATTGTCGCATCTATCGTTACCAGCACGATACCCAGCTGGTTATGCCACCCCTTCCTCGGCTTAGTGGTATACCCCACGCGACGGCGTGAACTTTCGGCCAATCAGAATGCGTGAAATCAGAGCGTCATTGTTTATACTTGTAACCGCGAAACAGAACACTTGAACAGAAAGAGCGACATTGCGTTTTGCACATCGAAACTTTTGCGTCAGCTGTTACGTGTTTATTTCGCGCCAAACTCCCCACAATACCGTACCACAGTTGTTTCTTTGTTATTATCTTAATAATCTGCCTTAGAAAATATTATTCGCGAAAAAAATAAACGAGCTGTTGAAATTCTTTTTTTTTTTATTCATCACACACATGTATATAATATAAGGCAACATTCCTGAGTTTTCCTTACTGCGATGTCAATCACTTAAAGTGAAAAATAGTGGCATTTTTGTAACTTTTTCATTAATGTAATTTTTTCAAATTCCTTCTAATTTCAAGAACAAGTTGTTTATGCTGTCGGCACGCAGTGATTTCAAAGTTGTGCAAAGTTATTGCAAAGTTGGTGGATGTACTTGTGTATATGACCTAAGTTGTTGGAATATAGAAACGCGCAGTTGTAAAGTCGACAAAATTAATAAAAGCCAGTTTAAATCAGCCTATTAATGTTCACATGAGCTGCCTGTAAAATGCAAGAAAGCAGCGTGCAAAGTTGGAAAAAACGAAGGAAATGTCGGCGGAGTTGCTTGTATATTTAACAACTTTGCACAGTGCATTAACAGCTTAAAACCCACCACGTGCCGACAGCATAAACAACTTGTTCTTGAAAGTTAGAAGGAATTTGAACATTTTCGAACTTTTAACTATGGGACATGTTAGTATGATATCACAGGTAACAATCCCGAATTAAACTACCATTTTTGCAGTCACTTTTCACAACTTTGTAAGCAGTTTGTTGCTGATTTTTCTGTTGACTGATGTGATAA